CTCCATCCCCCCACGATCCCCAGACTCTGCTCAGACTGCACATGGGCCGACAATATCACTGAAATCTTGAATCATCTTCCTGTTATCTCTTCCGGCAGGGGATCATGTAGTACATTGCATTACACTTGTCTGGAAGTTCTTTTGGAGCAATTATGCGGCGCTAGTGAAAAGAACATAACTAGGGAAGAGAATACTGTAACCATCAGGGCTGCATCATAGACGTGCATTTGTTATACACCACATCCTAACATCGACAACTCGGCCACAAAATATTTATGATGCCTAAAGCAACATTCATGGACTTTCCAGATAAATAACACGAATATATAAAAATATACAAAATATATTTGATACAGTGTAAAAAATCATCCATAAAAGCAAGCAGTAAAATGAATGCTCCACCAATGAGTTACTTGATATAAATAAGGTACAAAACACATACAAAGTGTCCAGAATCGAATACATGGAGAACAATTCTTCTGCCTTATAACGTAGAGTTTCAGCGTAACAGAATAGAGAATACTTGGGCCTCATTCGCACAGCGTAACCTCGGGCCGTACATATCCATGCGGCGTGCATGCCCATATTGGGCTGTTCCCGGGAGTGAGGGGTGCTGCCTGTAATTGCACGCAACAGCCCGTACTTCCCTATGGGAGGACGCAGCCGTACGCTGTCATTCGGACACCCGAACTGCGTGGGTCCGGGTGTCCGTGCTCGGATGCAGACAGGATCCATCTCGGCCTAAGCCCTGAGTAAATAGGTGGGGCTTCTGGATACGGGGGATCATGTGATCCTCCCCCTTCCTCTCCGCATAAAGTGCTCATTGGAGACCATAGTCCAAACCCTGTGTGAGCTTTATGCTGGAGCTTACACAGGATTAATTACTTCTTCCCCTCCCCCCACGTGACAGTATTTGGACTTGGTGGTTCCCCTCTTAGGCTAAAGCAATGTATCCTGGAAAGAAGGGGTCACATGGTCTGGCATACTTGGAAGCACAATGCATTTCCTGGGGGCTTTGACGGAGAATCGGGGGGAGCACAATAAAGTAATCGGTGGATGGAGGGTTGTTCTCTAGAGGCTCTTTAAAGGATTAACAATATTTTTGCTAAAAAAAAAAAACTGTGGGATTGATGCCCACTCTGTAACATTTAAATAACACAATGATAAAGCTGTAATGTTTGAGACTTTGTGAATTTGAGTATTTTACCATTCACTGGCTGTGCTGCAGTGTTAAGGAGAGGAATGTGACCTCCAGAGGCTAGAGGGGTATTGATTTTTTTCAGAGAGAAGTAAAGAGGCCTCCTCTTGGGACCATCTGCAGCATCTACCGTATGCAGGAGGCCAGAGAGTGTCAGGTCAGACTTCATGCTGCTTCCACACATCCTGCATTATTACTGTCACCTTCCTGCTCTGGGCTCCAGCCAGTCTGCAGGAAGTCATAGCAATGCCCCCATCTCATCTCTCACTATCAAGCAGAAATAAATTCACATTGCATCCTGCTGATGTAGTGCTTGGGTCTCATATTGACAGCAAACTACTGACTACAATGACTGACTGCTTGGCTGAAATGTTATTATTGCAGTATACCTATGTAAATGTATTTGTGTCCGTCTTCCTGTACATCATAGAAATAAATAGTTTATAATAGACTGTCATTTGTAATATTTTACTTTTCTTTTTTTGTTGTTTTTGTGGATTTAAAGATAGAAAAAGTTCTTTCAAAAAGTATTGTAGAGCCTATTATATTGATATGATAGAGCTTTGTACAAGTGTGGAAAAAACAGGAAAAGGATTCATTCTTTATTAATGCGGAACGTCAAATATATGCACTGTATTATTTATTATCCGTCGGTAAAGAGAAGACTGAGGATTATATTTGTTATAAACAGAACATCGAGATTTTTCCCAAATCAAAGATCTACAGAACTCTTTAAGGGCAGGTTCACACCATTTTCCGGGCCAGATCTGGAACGCAGTGCATTGATTTTTGCCACGTTTTACCTCGATTTTGCAGCATTCGGACGATTTTCTTTTCAAGCTTAAAATGGTCTTGCAGTTGTATGCGTTTACGATGCGTTTCTATGGGTTCCAGTGCATTCCAGACCAGACAAAATTAAGCCGAGCAGTATTTTTTTGGTCTGGTCTGGAACGGACTGCGCTGGTGTGAACAGAGGTTAGAAATAGCAGGGATACATTAGGGAATACATTAGGATGCATTTTGGGTCCGGAAACAGTCTGGTCTGGAGATGATCCGGACGTGGTGTGAATGGGCCCTTAAACATAAACACTTCCCATTAAGCTCGTACAGCAGACACAGCTTTTTTTTTTTTTATTATTATTATCATTATACCCTAACATTCATCTTCAATACCCAGCTCACCCTTCAGTTATATCATCAATTACTGGTATCTTCTGAATGGCCTGAAATCTGAGCCTGAAAAATGCATACCACAGTATTTAATGGTTGGAGTGTCGTCCTCTGTATGAGCCGCTGCAGCCTCACTCACAAGTTCTGGCTCCTAACTTCCTGTAGTGAGCAAACAACACAGCCTCTGCTGCACTGAATTCCCAATCAGTGTTGTCAGGGCCAGGCTTGCCCCCTGGTGGACTATAGAACTCTTCATAATAACAAAAGGTGAAGGTGTTCTGTAGTTCAGCAAGGGAGAACTCAGGAGGGGCTGGCAACGTTGCTTGGGATTTGTTGTCAGCTTACTACAGTAATGTACAGTAATGGATTTCTGGTAGGATCAAGAGGTATTTTCTGTACCTGCAGCATTTTTAAAGAGATACAATATGAGGACACGTGCATGTGTTAAATGTTTTTTTTGTTTTTTTCTTACACTTTATTTAGGCTGTTTTTTAGACTTTCAGGCCTTTATTCATCCACAAAGCAGAATAACAGAATGTTCTACCCAGTTCAGGAGTATTCAGCACAACACAACAACAAAGATTTTCCAGCCTTCTGGCTGTTTGTCAAACAGTACGTTCTGTTCTTTTAGCCAGACAACACTGCTCCAGACCCAGCCGTCCTGCTGGGCTAGTTCTCTCAGCCTTTTGCTCAGGCTCTCAGTCTGTTCTCCCGAAAACTATCATTGTCTGTCTATAGTCACTCTATTGCTATTTATACCAGATGAGGTTCTGATTCAGGTATCTGTCTGGTAAATCACAGATAGGCACACATTTCTAGTTTATCCTCCTCAAATGTGGCAGCACGGGGGTGTAGTGGGTTAGCACTTCTGCCTTGCAGCACTGGGGATCCCATGTTCAAATCCTGGTCAGGACACTATCTGCAAAGAGTTTGCATGTTCTCCCTGTGCTTGTGTGCGTTTCCTCCAGGTGCTCCGGCTTCCCCTCACATGCCAAAGGCATGCTAGTTGGGAGATTGGCCCTGTATATATGCATGTTAGAAAGGGACCTTAGATTGTAAGCTGATGCGAATGTAAAGTGCTGCGGAAATTGTTGACGCTATAAATAGATCATGCTTTCTCAGCTACTTGCAGTGGCTTACACGGGTGCTCTAGCATGGACACCCACTCGTAGGTTGTCTTCTTCAAATGCTGCCAGAGCAGCAATGGCTTTTCGATTTGTAGTCAGAATTTGCCTATATGTGGTTCCTCACTTGTGTTCTAATCTCCCAAACACCCTTTCCTTGCCAAAATGTTCTCTCTCCGAGATCTGGTCAGCAGTTCTGGTCTTTGGTTGGGTTCATTAAGAGTTACAGTATGACATGCCCATGAAGAACAACCATGTGCTTCCTTCCAAAGTCCTTTCAAGCTGGCATGGGACATTTAGTATCTGTATAAAGGACAGATACGTTAAGATGGAGAGTAATGTATTGAGCGTGAGCACATGCTTTGAGTTACTTTTTGCTGCGACTTTCACAATTTGCATGTCCTTCCCTACTTTTTTATTGTATTGGGTATAAAGATTTGCAGATTAGCCACTAGAGGGATATCTGTATTGGACTCCCTTTCCCTATTGATATAAAAACAAAAAGAATAGAAAAGCACAACAATTGTTTAGCACTGCAGTCATTGAAACACTGTACATTCGTTGTAAAATGTGATTGCGTATGCTGTGAGACAGTCAAGGTAATGGAGCTCTTACTTAAACATTTCACCTTTATTAAGGCATTACACTGATGTCTTCTCCCAAGTACACCCACAGTAAACTGGCCAATGTGCAGACATTTCCGAAGGGATACATCCAGGAGGTGCTGGAATTTCAATGTTTACTCATACATAACAGTAAAGGTGAAAGACGTTCATTTGGAATGCTCACCGGTTTTGATTAGGTGTCTCACATGGAAACAGGGCTTACCCTCTGATAAGTACCCAGGAACTCCACTCAAAGCATGAACCAAAGAAAGAGCTCCAGTTCAAATTAAAAATAGCTTTAATGATTTGTAAAACAGCCAATGCATTTCAGTGGCAAAAACACACTCCCTTCATCAAAGCTAACAACTAAATATAAGTATGATAAAAAAATTATTATAAATCTAAAAAAATTTAATAAATATTCACATATATATTGTCTACAACCAGCAGATTAAGAAAAAGATAGTAAATATGTTTTGTATACAAATACCAATTCCCTTCGTAAACAAAATAAATGGCGGTCCAAAATAATCTAATCTAATAATATGATGTAATAATACAATAAGATAAAAATAAAACATTACAAAAAAAATCTGATGTCTTCACCCAAGCACACTCACAGTAAACTGACCAATGTGCATACAGGGCCACAGTGCTGGTGACAAGGTCTCACACCCAAGGTAAAGATTCCAAAATGCACCCACCATCACCACAGCGCCCAATGTGGATGCCCCTGCTTCATCACGACCCTGCAGATAAGTATACCCCCCGGCCCTGGAGAGCCAAATATCCAGTAAAAGCAAACGCAGATATAAGCAAACACAGATAGTGATGCAGATATGGCTGCACACCTCTGCTTATACCTTTTTGTGAGTCTAAACATAGCTGTTTTTCTTTCCCTAGGTTGTTCTGGAGTGTGTGCTAAAGAAGGAACTGGTCTATAATAAAGTCACCCCTACTTTCCACCACTGGAGGATTGGAGATAAGAAATTTGGCCTCACATTCCAGAGCCCTGCAGATGCTCGAGCTTTTGATAGGGGTATACGTCGTGCCCTTGAAGATCTCACTCAAGGTATTGCACTTCTGCTTTAAAGGGATTTTTTCTTGTGAGAATCATGGAGAATGCCATTGCTGAACTCTCATTTTCAGAATGTTAGCTCCCTGAGTGCCATGCAAAAGCAATGGCTTCAGTGAAAAAGTGATGCTAGATTATATATTTTTACTTGACCTTTATATTATTCTTTGTGTGCTTTTCTTATTTATAAAGTGTTCTACCATATTTCTATAGCCAGAGTGAGGCGGGCTGAGTCTAGAGAGAATGGCTCCATGGGCTGAACTTAAAGTGGACTTAGTTTCACTGGAAGACATACTAAGGGCACGGCGTTGTTTCATAATGCCATATTACTAGTGTCAAAGTTTAGCATTGCTTCCAGAGGAAACCCTTGTTACCATAGTGATGCCATGCAGGCATTTGTCATGTCCCCATAGTGATTCTGAGTTACCACACTGATGTCACATTCACATAGTTTTGTGTGCAAGCAATGACGCCATGCTTCTCTAGTGAGTGACAAGGCATTAACAGAGTGATGCCAAGTTACCAGAATGAGGCCATGTTGTGTCACCACAGTGATTCCGGGTTTCCATAGTAATAACATGCCGCCTGGATAATACCTTGTTACCATAGTGATACCATGCAGTCAGTATTGCTGTGCATTCATTGTAACCACTGTTGGTTACCTCAATGATACAACATTACTTCAGTGACCCCTGTTCACTATAGAGGTTCATGGTTACCAAAGTGATGCCATATTATTAACATGTCCACATTTACAATTTATTCTGTGTTAACAAAGATATAAAACCAGGCAGATGTGGCAGCATTATTCAAACTTAGTTGGCAATTCTTTAAAACAACCAAAACCGAAAAACCTGTTGTAGTAATTTGCCACCCCCCTCTCCATTGCTCTTGTGTATGTCTTCAGTTTCACAACTCCAATAGCTTGCTATCACTGGGAAACCAAAGGACAACTGTGCATAATCTCTAGAGCCAAACTATAATTGTGTCCGAGGCAGGCTGGGCCAGAAATGAGCATGAAATTAGGTCTATGTGTCTAAATATATAGATATTTATATAGTGTAGAATAGAACAGGGCTGCACAACTCTCAGGAGTTAGGTAGCCAATGCTCCCTACAAATTACACTTGCCTTTGTTGTAATGGAGCGGCCTTCTAAAAAAATCCTGCTTGCTCCTAAACTCTATATTCATTTGTCCACCCCTGGTGTACAAATACACCAAGAAAACTAGCCAATGCTCCCTACAAATTACACTTGCCTTTGTTGTAATGGAGCTGCCTTCTAAAAAAATCCTGCTTGCTCCTAAACTCTATATTTATTTGTACACCCCTGGTGTACAAATACACCTAGAAAACTAAAATCCACATTGTTGGTGGAAGTATGATTAAAGCAGGGGCGGACAAATTAATATTGGATTTACGAGCCAGTCTGTCTAATCCAGGAGCCAGCAGGACTATTTTAGGATCCCAGCCCCATTGACAAGAACTACAAAAAAACCTCACAAGTTGGGTGCCTCCTGAAATGTTTTACGGGCATAGGCTCCCTGGCTCCTTGTCCATCCCTGGCTTAAAGAGAAACATTGCACATAGGGAATTGTAACAGTTTCACTTTAACTTGGCCTTTCCTCCCCAGCAGAACATGCTGACCTTTCTTTCACTACCCTGCTGCTCCATTCAGCCACCCTCAGTCTTGTATAAACTAGAAGTCACTGGATTTATAGCTAACAGAGGGCTATGGATTCCCGGTGTAACATTGGCATTGATCCAGCACTCTCTCTTGGGTGAGCCACCTGTCACTCCATATTGGCTATATTCCTCATCTCTCGGTGGTGAACGGAACAACGGTGCAGCAAAGGAAGAGGTTGTTTTGCCCTAAATGGGCAAAGGAAAGGTTCACTTTAAACGTGATCTTTAATTCAACTATGTGACACCTCTCCAAATCATTGGATTCGGGTGTTCCGTGAAATTTCCTTGCTACTAAATATGCCACTGTCAACTGTTAGTGGTATTATAACAAAGTGGAAGCAACTGGGAACAACAGCAACTCAGCCACAAAGTGGTAGGCCACGTAAAATGACAGAGTGGGGTCAGTGCATGCTGAAGCGCACAGTGCACAGAAGTCGACCAACTGTCTGCAGAGTCAATAGCTACAGACCTCCAACCTTCATGTGGCCTTCAGATTGGCACAACAACAGTCGTTTGAGAGCTTCATGGAATGGGTTTCCATGGCCGAGCAGCTGCACCCAAGCCTTACATCACCAAGTGCAATGCAAAGCGTCGGATGCAGTGGTGTAAAGCACGCCGCCACTGGACTCTAGAGATGTGGAGACGTGTTCTCTGGAGTGATGAATTGTGCTTCTCTGTCTGGCAATCCCATGGACGTGTCTGGGTTTGGAGGTTGCCAGGAGAACGGTACTTGCCTGACTGCATTGTGCCAAGTGTAAAGTTTGGTGAAGGGAGGATTATGGTGTGGGGTTGTTTTTCAGGGGTTGGGCTTGGACCCTTAGTTCCAGTGAAGGGAACTCTTAAGGCATCAGCATACAAAGACATCTTGGACAATTTGGCCCCTTCCTGTTCCAACTTGACTGCGCACCAGTGCCCAAAGCAAGGTCCATAAAGACATGGATGAGCGGGTTTGGGGTGGAGGAACTTGACTGGCCTGCACAGAGTCCTGACCTCAACCCCATAGAACACCTTTGGGATGAATTAGAGTGGAGACTGCGAGCCAGGCCTTCTCGTCCAACATCAGTACCTGACCTCACAAATGCGCTTCTTTAAGAATGGTCAAATATTCCCATAGACACACTCCTAAACCTTGTGGACACCTTCCCAGAAGAGTTGAAGGTGTTATAGCGGCAAAGAGTGGGCCAACTCAATATTGAACCCTACGGATTAAGACTGGGATGTCATTAAAGTTCATGTGCGTGTAAAGACAGGCGTCCCAATACTTTTGGTAATATGGTGTGTGTGTGTGTATGTATATATGTATATATATGTATGTGTGTGTGTGTGTGTGTATATATATATTTATTTTTTCCTGCATGTGCTTATTTTAACACACTCGCAGTCTAGAAACATACTGATAGTTTATTGGCGTCAGACATGATTGGCACCTGAGTGTAGTTTGTGTGGTAGGGATGTTCCATTGTATGTGCCATTTGGGGTAGAGGAAAAGGCTTTGTTATTTACCTTATTCCTCACTCTGGCACACTTTTGCGCTTTTCCCTCCGACGCTCTGAGACGTGGGCAGGCCCTCTGTGCCCTCACAGACAATACAACACTAGTGGTTTTGCATTGTACTTGATGCGACTGCTGGCCAGAGTGCCTTAAAAAAGACGCTGCCAAGGACTGGTCGCACAAATGGAGTTAACCTGCTGGAGCAAGGATTAAGGTAATTATTACACCTTATTCCTCTACTCCTTTGCTTTTCTGATGTGACTTTAAAGGAGAACTATGAGGTGAGTGATTTTCACTCATCCTCATAGTTCGAGCCGACGTGTGACAATGAAACTGTCACACGTCGGGTCAATTGATCGGAAAGTGAGTGAACACATACCGTCGCTTGCTCACTTCTCCATCATGTCCCTGCAGAGAGCCGTGACTGTCACTCACGGCTCCCTGCAGGGATTCCCCCTCCTCTGAACCTCCAGCGCTGACTGGCGGAACGGATGGGGGAGGGGGTACAGCTGGCTCTGCCGCTAGATAGGCAGAGCCGGCTGTGAATCACTCAGCTGGGTGCCGTCCCGGCTGCGGCGGTCTCAGTATACTGAGCTTTGGGTCACGGGAGTACACTAGTTTGTTTCCGCCCGTGACCCTTAGGAGAACTATGGGGAAAAACACTTACCCCATAGTTCTCCTTTAATGTGGACCTAGACTAAAGCTGTCCATACACCAGTAGATTTTCGTAGGAGCGTTCATACAAAGAAAAATTAATCAGCATTCGATAATGCCATCAGAGACTGGAAGAATGTGTTTCGAAATTTTGAAGATTTTGTATATATCCACATTAGCTGTTAGCATATGATTCCTTCGAGAAAAATATTCCATCCTGTTCCTTAGATTTTTTTTTTTGTCACTGCAGTCAAAAATTATCATCAATTTGACTTCATTACCTATTAGAAAATCGAACGAACATTCCAAAAATGAGGTTTTTTAACAATATTCTATTGGTGTGTGGCCAGTTTTAGGTAACCTTATCCTACAGACAGTGTGAGACAAGTTAGATGTGAACGATAGTGTGCTGACAGTAATTATTCTGCTGCTGCCCAGATCGCTTGCCATCTATTGCACATTGAGTGTAGAACAGCTCTTCATATTGCTGAAAACACCTTCAATGTATTCAGAGGAAGGAGTGAGCAGTACTTGTCCATCAGACTCTTGATGGAGATGTTCTGCCTGTCCTTTTAAGACTCTTGTGAGCCTTGAAGAACAGAGTGTGCCTAGGCACTATCACATGTGCAGTGCTTTGGTCCTTCTAATCAGATAAAGATAAAACATTTTTACTGATTTGTGTTGTGGGTTTAACCTCCCTGGCGGTCTGATTATCTCAGTATTTTGTTTCTTTTTTTTTTGTTTCTTTTTTTGTTTCTTTTTGTTCTTTCTATTTTTCTACTTTTAAATTTCCCGCCGGTTCCACCCCCCTGCGAGGCAGGTGCTTGCAATGGAGGGAACCCGGAAGACGGATGCCGTCATCGGCCGGAGGACACAGCAGGGCTCGTAGGGTTACCGCTTTTGGTGCTGAAAATTAACCCCGAGCCAGACTCGGGATTACCGCCAGGAAGGTTAAGCTAATGAATCCCTGTTGCAGTCAAACTTTAGATTTTAGAGGGTTATTAAACCCTCCGGTTATTTTGCATATATCTACTGATAGCAAGCAGTAGATATATGCAAAAATGTATTTCTTAAAACCCCCTTTCAAACAGGTTTTAAACTTACCTGCGTCTTCACCGCGCGCTCCCGTCTGAAAATCTGAAAAATCTTGGGCGGCCGCAAAGGATCTTGGGGCGGGCGAATGCGCAGTTCAGATTTTCGGCCGGGAGACGGGGAGAGACACAAGGTAAGTCTATGGACAGCGTGCACCCGCATGCAGACACCGTGGGACAGGAAGCACCAGCAAGCACAGAGGAGTCAGCGCTGGATCGGAGACCCGCAGCAGCGCTGGAGGGACAGAAGAAAACTTCAGTAAGGAAGAAAAAGATCGGATTAAGAGACATCTAACTTTGGGGGAGGGAAAAAAAATGTATGCTTTAATGTCACTTTAAGCATAGGTCCACTTTATTGGGAAATGCTTGTGTAAGGAGAAAAATTTCAGGGTATACTTCTGAGAATACGCTGTGCTTCTTAATCTAGCATTAATATTTTGGATGAAATGCATTTTCCATGCCCACAATGAGTAAGCAATTCTAAAACGTTGCCTCCTAGGAAAAGCTTGGTGTACCATTTGTTCCCCATTATGGCAGGGCAAGACAAATCCCAGGAGCCAGGTAACCACAGCTCCTTAAAAATTAAAGGCTGGCTCATAACGTTTGCGTTTTTTCTCTAGTTGTCAATACTTTCTGCTAGGTCCTGCATTGGACAGACTGGCTTCTGAATTGCAGATCATTGTATCCACCCTTGCGATATTGCATATCTTGGTTGTACTGTCTTTTAATTATCTGTGTTAAAGTATATTTAAATCCAAACTGAATGACATTTAGTTTGTTGAAGCATGGCGTATCATAAACAATTGACATTTTTAATTAAATATGTGTTTTCAGGTTTTTTCTACCCTTTGTTGCATCTCCATGCTGCTAATATCCTGCCGCTTTTTTGCAGCCACTTTCTTTCTACATGCAGGTATTCCAATAATGGCTGCATGGCATTTCTTATGGTGGGTTTCCTGATGGTGACACCAGTGGACCATGCCTGTGTGTAATGTGTGATGAAAATGCTACGTGTAGTTTCCATAGGAAGTCCATGTGACAGAGTGGAAACGCAAGAGAACAATTAGCAGACAGGGACAGAGCGTTGTCACCCTAGAAAAGGAAGTGACGTTCATGGAAAGATAATCTGGTAATTTCATGAAAGCTGCAAATTAAAAAAAAAAAAAAAATTTTTTCTGAGATGACCTTAACATGTTAAAGGAGAACTTTGGGGTAAGTGTTTTTCCCCATAGTTGTCATAAGGGTCACGGGAGGACATAAACTAGCGTCCTCCCATGACCCAAAGCTCAGTATATCGCGAGCTACAGCTCATGGTATACTGAGACCGCCGCAGCCGGGTCGGATCCCGACATTACTGTCGAGATCCACCCATCTGCGTGAGTGACAGCTGGCTCTGCCTATCTAGAGGCAGGGCCAGCTGTACCCGCCCCCTCCCTAGTCCCTTCCGCCAGTCAGCGCTGGAGGATCGGACAGGGGAGAGGGGGAATCCCTGCGGGGAGCCGTGAGTGACAGTCACGGCTCTCTGCAGTGACAGGATCGAGAAGTGAGCCAACGCCGGTATGTGTTCGCTCACTTCCCGATCTATTGAGCCGACCAGTGACAGTTTCATAGTCACACGTCAGCTCGAACTATGAGGTTGATTGAAAATCACTCAACTCATAGTTCTCCTTTAAAGCTTAGGTGGGATTTTAGTGATTGAATGTAAGTCTACTTTTATTTGCAAAGGCCAGTAGAGTAGCATTTGATTGTTTTAGGTCTATATAATACAGAAATGAGTGGGAAAAGTCCAATGATTTCTTATTTTGATGTCCACAGGTTTTCCCACGTCCCATGGAGAAACTGAGGTTCCTGAGGATGGTCCACAGGTATGTCATTTATCTAATTTTATTACTGATATTTGCTGATGTACAAATATAAAGCTACCTTGACAACACCCCAAATATTCTGTCAAAAGCAGTATTGCTTCATCTGTTGCCTATCCTTATCCATCTGCACAGGGGGAGCCAAGAAGTTTCCCAAAGTCTACACTCCCTTTCAGCTAGTCAGGGGATCTGCTGGCCATGAATCAAGGACATGTTAGACTTTCCTTTCATTATTGCAGCAATCGAATACAACTTCCCACCTGCCAGAGAGATTACTCATGTATGATACTGAGATGGTGACATGAGTGTGCCTTTTAATATCCAACCTTAGCACATCTAATTGAGTTTTTCTGGAAATATTCTTTTATTCTGAAATGTTCCTAAACTTGTTATAGACATCAGATTATTTACAAATGTTCTGGCATGGGCTGATGCGGAGAGTTCTCTTGTGTTTGTACAAGTACATTCATGTCCATAATACCTGACTGAGCACGCCAATCCAAAACTTAGGCATCTCCATCTTAACTTCTTTCTATCTGGCTTTGCAACTGCTGGCATTGATTGGGCCGGTGGGCTGGGTGGTGGTCACAGTTTTGAGCAGGCTTGGGCGAACTCAGGCAAACTGGTTTTGCACCAAGCACAAGCTCATCACTACTTCTGGCAGTAAGGACCTGCCATGAAAATCCAGCACAGTTACTTGCCTACCTAGAGCATGATTTGCCTCAAGCATCTGCTTTAGTCTGAAGACAGCCAATATGGAACTATAGCCAATATATATATATATA